CAAGATCTATAAACAAAATATACTAACAAACATTTTATCAATTATTCAATAGTTTGTATAGGAGTGATCAAAGTAAACAAAATATACTAACAAATGTTTTATCAATTATTCAATAGTTTGCAGAATGATCAAAGTAAGAGTTAAGGACAAGATCTATGAACAAAACATACTAATGAACATTTTATCAATTATTCAATAGTTGTATGGGAGTGATCAAATTAAGTGTTAAAGACAAGATCTATGAAACAAGTTTTACAAAAATGAACATTTTATCAATCATTCAATAGTTATGTTTATTATTTATTTATGTATATAAATTTCTCTTTTTAACTTATATTTAATAACATTGCTATGCTAAATAATTAAATGAATAAAGTCAGAGATAAAACACCTTTTAATTTAATCATTATTGTTGCTTGTTATTATTCTAATCATTATTTATGTATATAGGTAAAGAAAATTTCTAAAATCTATTTATTTATAAAAGACATACCTAAGCAATCAAAAATCTGTAAATATTCATAATAATGTAATATTTGGTCATTTATTTCTGCCTATACTTTTATACTTGCAATTGGATGCATCAAACAAATTTTATGCATATGAATATAAATGCAAAATTTGACTTTGAGGGTCATATTATTTTTGGTTTTATTAACAACCTGCCTTAAATTTTCTTAAAGCAGATACATATGATAAAGAAGTTAATCTCAAATTTGGTAGTGGTTTCTACACAAGCAAGGGTATCAAATGAGGGTGTGAAGACATTCAATTATAAAATTTTACTATGATGCAGATCATCCAAATTTACTACTATTGATCGGAGAATGCGCAGAAAATGCACAGTAATAGTTTTCAGAAATGCACAAAAAACCGAAATTCCGTTGTTTTTTGGAGAAGTGGTGTAATAAATGCAGAAAACCTAATACTAAAAACACAAAGAATTTTACTCTCTATGTGTTTTCTGAAAACTAATGCTAAGGACATTTTTTGTGTGTTTTCCGTGCGTTCTTCCATATGTTTCCTATGTAAAACGTGCTCTTTGCGGGAAGATTCCATACATTTCCTGTTTTGGTATTGTATTTCCCGTGTATTTTCCATACAAGATTTTTTATAGGAAGTTGGGAAGCAATTGTGTTATCCCCATTACCTTGACATCATAAACCCCCGATCACAATAATAGCTTAGCTAGAAATAAAAAATATACAAGGTGATATTAAAACAAGTCCCTATCACAATAAAACTCTTGTTTTTGCCACAAAAATTCTAGTCTTGTATACAAAAACAAAGAAAAGAAAATAAAACACCCAGCTAATTCTAAACAACGTTGGAGGAAGCTAAAAATCATTATTGAGAAGATTATTTAAGGAGGAGCTATGAAATGCATTAATCCTAGAATGACAGTTGTTGCACGTAGAAGTTGAATAATTTTGATGGTATGTACAGCCAAACCTCGTTTCAAAAATCTATAGGGAAAACATAAGAAATTGCATTTAAAATTTGTTTTGACAAATTTATGTTTTTATATGTAAAGCAAGTGAAGCAAAATTTATTAAAAAATTTTGTTGTAACGCGAATTTAATTATTGAAGGTTTAGCTGTAGATCATCATATTAATAGGTGGTGTTACAATCAATGATCTTTTTGTAATAAATAAATAAAGTGTATCGTTTTTTTTTTTAATAATATTCCACTTTTTACCAAAGAAAATTTGAATTACATCTATAAATGGATAAACTTAAAGAGGTAAACAAATGTTTTCAAAAAGATGGACTTAATAAAGACATTCTATAATAATAAAATAATTAATATTATTACTTCTTATTGTTCATAGAAAATAAATACACTTAGAGATGAACGTGATGCAGCAATTTCTAGTAGTGAAGAAGTAAAAAATGAAAATAAGAAAGTTCAAGATGAGCTCACTGCTAAAGAGCGAGAAAATCATTCTCTTACAAAGAAAGTTTCACAACTTGAGTCTGACCTGGATGAAGCTCTAAAAAACTTGAAAGAAATTACTGAAAAGTAAGGGTTTGAATTATTATTAGATTCGTAGTACTGATATATTTACTAATTTATGTATATTTTTATTTATAGACTTCGTGAGATTGATGTTAAATCAGAAAGTCAAGAACGTCATATTGCTAAACTTGAAGAAGAATGTACAGAAAAAGATGCACAAATAGAAGAAAAGAAAAAGGCATATGATGAATTAAAAAATGAATATGATGAAACTATTAAACATCTTGATAATATTTAAAAATGTTTTATTATTTTATTTAAATGTCATTAATAATTTATTATTTTATATGATTTATATATTATATTTATTAGGTGAGACTACATATCATAATTATCATGAACATTTATGTTTAACCAATAAATAAAATATAAATATTATCATTTTATGTTATAATTGATTGGTTCATGATTTTTTAATCTCTGATACAACATATCTAGTTTCTAATAATTCATCTTCTGTCACCTTAACTGTTGGTATGATTGATTGGTCAAGTTTAAATACTAAATTCTTTGAAGATCTAATGTCTCTCTCCAAATCTTTAATCCCATCTCTTGTTTCCTGTTATTATTAATATCATATTTATTATTATTAGTAAATATTATTACTATTATTATTAATAAATTATTATTAATGACTAATAGTAATTAATAATAACAACCTCAACAGATTTTTGAATTGTTTTCAATGAATTTATATTTTGAATAATTGAATTATTTACATATGATAAATGATTATTAGTTATGTTATTTATTTCTTGCCATAATTTTTGATTTGATTCAACTATTTTTTTTTAAAAATCATTTTAGCATTAAATTTTTACAAGAAAATCAAATCAACAAAAACAAAAAACATACTCAGTTCCTTTTCCAAAGGTGTTCTTCTAATAATTGTGGATAATTATCAGTAAAATGAAAATTTTTTTAAAAAAAAATCATAAATCTAGAAATAATTTAATTTATATTTACTTTGTTGAAGAAGACATTTATAAATATTTTTTGTTGAAAAAAGATTGAATTACACACATTATTTGTGTTACAATTAATTATTTGTTTCATTTATTTTGAAAGAGGGGGGTTCTTTATCAATTAAAGGAGTAGCAGCAGTGATTAACTAGTGAGTAAATCAGATTCAGAAGAGGAAGAAAGTGATGAATGAATCTGCTGCATTAAATTAGGACGAACTTTGTAAAAAAAAAACAGCATGTAAGAAAGGTTGTATATAACTATATCTTTAATAAAAATCAATTAGCATGTAATAGTAGAGATTTCTTGTAATGTTTTCTTGCTTATATCAGATAAGTAATTATAATAATGATGACTGTGGTGTTGATTTGATTATAATATTGATGATTTTATTTTTTAAAATGTTATGTTGTGTTTAGGAAATTTATGTGATATAATGGTACAGTCAAGGTTACCTTTTTTCATTGAGAAAAATCACAAACTTCCAATTGGAATGACATTAACAAGTGGAGTAATTAATTATATGAACCATCAATAAGACATTAGTATTAATGCACGATGTTTAACATTGTCAGTGCTAGAAAAATATGGCGATGATGATTTGTAAAAATCCTTGAGGTGATGGTAAGCTTATTAGAGAGTATTATTAATTTGGATGATACAGGATTTAGCATCGAGAGCAAATCAGGTAAATAAAATGGTTTCTCGGAACAGACGATGATCAAAAGATTTATATTCTTGTGATAAATTGGTTGAGATTACTAAAAGCTAAATTATATATAGAATCAAAGATCCAACACTATATAGACTATGTAAATTATATAAAAAAATTATTATCGCTATGTTAAATTTCAATATATATATGTATAACTATTATTTTCCATCATCTATCATTACTATTACCATCTTTCCACCAATTCTCTTATTTTACGTTCAATAATCAAGTTTCCTAATGGTTACATTTCATTGGACTACCATTGGATCATCATTATGTATTTGTAAAAATTTCATAATCCCAAAAAATCATACTGTTACTTCACTAATAGTACACGATGGATATTGATATTGAATAATCGAAAGAATGTGTAATAAAAAATGAGGAAAAGAAATTAAACGGTCACACATGTATGGTGCATTGGAGGTCATAAAATTTTCAATTTAGAAGTACTGCTTATCCCAAAACCTACAATTGATAAACCCGACTGGGTATTTGGGAATTAAATTGATTCTCGCAGATAAATTTAGCTGGAAGGTGAATCAGTTTGCCTATATATAAAGAACAATCTTAATAATTATATAATAGGCCCACATTCTCATTAATATCTACATTTCTTCGGTTAAACTAAAACCATCTATATTTCGTCGTTACCTATTATGTAATTTCATGAAATTGCCATGTTGATTATGGTAATTACTGTACACAAATAATAATAAAATAAATTTGATCGATCGGCTCAGGATTATCAAAATTTCAAAAGAGCATTTTAAGCAATTCGAAATATTAATAAATCACAAGAATATTACGATCTTAAATACATGTTGGTGTAGAGCCAAACATTCTAGAGATTCACACGCATCCATTCGTTCTTTAACAAAAAGACAATCGGTATTATGTTGTAAGGCGTCACATATTAAACTAGTGAGGCAGTTTTAAAACAATCTTCAGGTAAGTTTATTAAAATGGAGCTTTTCAATAAAACGCGTGAAACTTGAAAAGATACCACTATTTTTATTAATAACAATATAATAATCCCTCCCTGTGATTGTGTGATCTTGTGATTAATCCCGCTTCATCGATTAATAAGATTGCATTATTCACTTTAACGAAAAGTTTTTAAGTTCATGTGTCAAATTTGGATCTTTTTTTCAAAAGAATTTTGATTGAAATTTTAGTTTAATAATTAACAGATAAATCTTAGAAATGTGCAAATTTTCTCGAGATTATATTCTACAAAATGCAGATCTGTTGTGAAACTACAAAAATTTGTTGATCAATTTTATCAATTTTATCAAAAAATGTCAAAATTAATTAGTAGTATAATTACTGAAAATTCCGATGATAGTATTATAAAAGAACAACAAAATCAAGTTTGTGGCATGTAAATTATCTTAATTATGTATATTATTGTAATTACTATAGTAATTTGAATTTTTTTTTGTTAATGAAGTCATTTTCTAAATTCTAATTTTTCTAAAAAAAAAAATTATAGATGTAAAAAGCAAAATTCAAAATATAACTGTCCGAGATGTAATCTTAAATATTGTTCATTAGATTGTTATAAGCATCAAGTACCCATCATTTTTTACATGAGAGAAATTGATTACTATAAAATTTTGGTTTTAAAAATTATTAATTTTTTGTTTTTTTTTTTTAAAAAAAAATACAATTGCTACCATCATATAGAGTCATTTAACATGTACAGAATCGTTTTATAAAGATAATATAATGGAAGAGATTAAGAGTCAAGGACTTGTTGATGAAGATCAAAAAAATAAAATGTTAAATTTCTTAAGAAAATTTGAACAAGAAAATGATGAGACAATTAAGGAATCTATATATCAAGATCAAGATTTAGAAGGTTCATCCATTTAATTAATTGATTAATTAATTATAATGATTAGCATTTATATATATTTGTTATAATTTAGATGAAGAAGATATTATTGAAAGATTTAAAGATATAAATATTGGTATGAAAATTCAATTAAATAAATTGATGCTTTATTATTAATATTAAAAAATATATCAAGAGACCATAATAATCAATTAATAAACACATAATATATGAATAAATAAATGGATGATTAGATTCAGCAGATTTTCAAACAATATGGAATAAGTTGACAGAGAAAGAACGTCAAGAATTTTTAGAAGGAAAAATAGAAAATTTTATTGTAGAATTAGAATTATGGAAACCTTGGTGGCAATCATTAAGTCAACAACAATCATCTAAAATAATTGAACTTACTAATGATGATGATGATAAATTAAATAATAATAATAATAATAACAATAATGTGAAAAATTCAACTAGACCAAAAATAATTTCCAATATTGTTAAATTAGATTTTGCAAAAAAACCTCCAAATCCTGGTATTATTTATAATCTTGTGAATATTTTGTATCCTTTTTATGTTTATTATTATTATTATTATTGCTATTATTATTATTATTGAAAATATTCTCAACTTGTATCATAATCAAATAATTAATTAGGTATGCATATGCTTATACTTGTAGATTTTTTAATGGGGAAATATTAGAAAATTTAGAAGAATCATGTTTAGTAATATGGGATTTATCACCTATTCTATCATCAAATCAAAATCTAGTATATGAAAATGCTTCACATGCAATTTCTATGAGTTTGCAATTAACTTTAAAGGTAATAAATGCGTTTCTGCATATGTGTACATTATAATTTCATTATTTACTTGTTATTTTTGTTATTTATCATTTATCTTTTTTCAAAAATTAGAATACTAAATACAAACAACCTCCAGATTTTTCATATTTGATAATAAATGATATTATTTCATTATTATCTACACATGAAAATACACTTGCAGCATTATCAGATCTGTTAAATCTTTTTCAGAAATTTAATTCATCTGCATCTGTATCCACAAAAATAACCACGTCATCATCATCATCATCATCATCATCATCATTAAATAAAAAATCAAAGTCTAAACAAAAATCTTTTTTAAATGGGAAAAAAATTGAATTTTATTTGTCATACACAGGTTATTTGCTATCAATAGATAAAGAAAAGGAAAAGTTTGACAAGGTTGATGAAATGACATTGAGAATGAAATTGTTGATTAGTGAACTTGAAATTTTTAAACAAACCAAAATTTTGGAACATGATAATCATCAAATATTGCAAAAAGATGTCGAAAAAGTTTTAGAATATAAAAAAGTAAGATTTGAAAATAATGATGATGATGATGAGAAAGATCAAAGGATTATTGAAGAGATTTAAATAAAATAGCAATGGCATTCAAACTGCCAAAAAAAAATTTTATTATTATTATTGTTACAACTCAAAGTTCTCTAATATATATTCTCCAAAAAATAAAAATGATTGTTATTATTAAAATTACATAAACAGTATATTATTATTGTTATTATCAGCTTAACATTTCTCTATAATGTACATCACAATAAGGTTGTCCTTGGTGAATATAATAATATGAACTATTGAATGGTTGTTTACAAGTCTAAGAAAATAGAAATAAAAATTAATTAATATATATCTAATACAAGGATTTACACAATTAAATAACCTACCTTGCAACCGAAACAATCACGGTGCCACTTTCCATCCAATGCATTTGTAAATTCTCCTTTGATTGGGTTTTGACAACCCTTACATTTTGGCGCTAAATAATAATATTAGTTTATTGATTTAATATAATACATACATTTCTAATAGTAGAATTAATGAATGAATGATCTATTTACCAAATTTTTTCATCCAATCTTTTTCACAGTATGGAAAACCATCATGCACCATGAAACCACCACTTTCAAATGGACCGCCACATTCACGACAAAAGAAATGTCCTACATGCCAAGATTTTCCAAGTGCTGTAATAGATTGCTAATAATTTTTTTTTTAAAAAATTTTATATTATTATAATGATGAATCACAAATATTTTTTTTCCTCTCCAAAATAAAATAAAAATAATTTACCCCTTCAATAGGTGTATTACAATAACCACATCTTGGACTAAACAATTCATGAAAATCTAAATGACAATATGGCAATCCATCTTGTTCAAAAAAAGCAACATGTTCTAAAGAAGTATTACATTTTGTACATGTGAAATGATCTGGATGCCATTTTTTCCCCATTGCCGACAAAACTTTCCCTGTGATTGATTTACCACAACCCCCACAATTTAATGATGCTATATTATGTATAGACGATGATAGTCTACTATTGTTATTATTGTCACCAAGAGGTTGATTATTTGATGGATGTATTTTTGAAGTTGGTGTTGAATTACGTTTATGTTCTTGATTATTTTCTGATATATTACTATTGATGCTATTTCTATTACTATTATTACTATTATTATTATTATTATTATTATTATTATTATTATTATTATCACCACCGATACTATTGTTATTAATAGCAATACCATTGTTGTTATTAATTGTATTGTTTGAATTTGAAATATTTTTCTCGTCAGATTTTTCTGAATGAGGGAATTTCTTTTGAGCGTCATCAAATTGTGCATTCCAATATGATTCATTATTCCCACCACTCCTATCATTATTACCATTATTATTATTTTTTAGTTCATTATTTAATTGCTTGTCAAATTGATGTTGTTTTTGTAATATATTTACTGTAGAGTTGTATATCTTTTTGTTTTTATTGATTTCACTTTGAATTTGCTCTGGAGTTTGTTTAATTAATGACGGGGTCCTTGATGCTGGTTTGGAAGAAGCAGTATGTGACTTGAATGCAGCAGATAAAACATAACTACCTTTTGTGCCATCATCTATTTTTGTATTAGAAGCATTAGCAGAGATGGCTCCTTCATCAATATTGTTGTTATTATTATAACTACTGTTAACATCTGTAGTTTGATTATTATTTTGTTTAAAAGAAAGCTTTGTTTCCGTTGGATAAGTTAGATCATTAATTAGTTCATTAATATCATTATTTTTATCAATCTTGTTTGTAATAGTTTCACGAAAACTTGATTCTGATAAAGCAGAATCTGTGGTGTTTAGTTGTGTAGAGGAAGGAGGCGAATAAGCAGCAGAGCTGGAAACTGATTCAGGAGAAGATGGTGTTTTGATGTTTTCTTCAATTTTTTGACTAAGTGAACGAGTAAGAATTGAAGTGGTCTTGTTTGGAGAAGGATATACCCTTGGACCATACAAACCTCCTACTTTCCTCTCAGTTGAATAAGTGGGAATAGAATCAACAATAATCGAAGAGGAGGAGGAGGAGGAGGAGGAGGAGAAGGTAGAAGGAGGAGAAGAAGGACTTAAAATTACATTATTAATATTGTTATTGTTATTGGATGGAACAGTTGAAGTTATTGGACTTTTTGGTGGCGTTATTAAACTTGAACGTTTAGGAGGTGCTTTATTCTTTAAATTTTTTAAATAATTTGCTAAAAAAAAATATAAATTATTAATGATATTATCATCAGTTAGAAACAATTTATTGGGGATAAATAAAGTATTAGTCTCGGACAGAATTCAAAAAACTTTACCAAGTTCATCTTTTGTAAGATTTTTTTTATCATTCATCTTTATTATAAATTGTTGTTAAAAAAAAATTTGAGTTTTAAATCGAAAAAAAAAATAAATCATCCCAATATGGTAATGGGGTTGAATAACTCCTTTATTTATAAAGAAGGTTGTAAGACAAACATGACACAATTGTACTTCTCTTGTCACATCAGGTATCGAGCATAATTAGAAATTTCATATCACGAAACGTTAAATATAAAAAAAGAACTTTTCTTTCGTTATTACTAATTATGGTACAATAATAATTTTTCTTTTCAACTTTTCAATAAAAAAAGGTGTATATTGCATTTTTTTTACTCCTATAACTTTTAGACTCCCTGCTGAGCCGATCATCATTTTTGACAACAAAATAATATAAATAAATAGTTTGTTTTATATGTAATAGTAGTATTATGTGGTTTGTTGGAATGCTAAAATCTCAATTAAGGTTTTGGTATGTGGTACAAAATGAAATGTTTCGGAAAAAAAACACCAGATCGACAAAAATGTAACTCGATCATCAATCATTATTATTTTCTTATTTTGTATTTTGTCAAAAAATAATTATTTTTTTGATTACTTGTTATTCAATTAAATTACTTATTAGATTCGTATTTGTTTTTAACAAATGTTTATATTGAATATAAATAAGCTATAATTTCAACGAGCTTGGAAAAAATATTGTGTATGTACATTGTATCGCTGTATGTAATATGCTGCATACATCCCATTTTCGACTTTCTCAAAAAGGAACCCAACACCGAAACTCCTATATATTACTATAGTAAATAAAAAAATATGAATGATTTACATAAAATCGGATCTTTTTTTAAATTTAATATTAAATACACGTGACGTTTGAAATTTTTTCTTATGAAAAATGGAAATTTACTCTGAAACCAAGCTATCGATAATTACATTCGCAAAGAAATCGTGAACCGAAATTTTATTCTTGCATTCATTTTATTGGCCAAACTTTCCATGGTTGATACTATTCCACATCAACTTCATAAAAAAGATGCTACTGTCTTCTATCTCTATTGAAGAAGATAACTACCCTTACTCACTGTAACATTTTCAGATCGTATCGTTCCCAGAGGAACCGCTGATTTCATTGTTACCGGAAAACTAGCGAAAGATATCGCCTCAGGTCCCGAAGTTATTATTGTATTTGGCGAGCCCATATTTTCCCATTTACTGCGGATGTTTACTATATTCAGTGGAAGTTCGGATACCAGCAGATTTACCTAAATTCTAGTTACTGCTTTAGATTCATCTTCTGAGGCTGTTGTAGGCTGTGCATCGGGTGATGCTGCATTTATTGAGAATACAACCAAAATTTTCGATTTTGACATAAATGTTGATAAAAACATGAAAGGAAATTGGTTTATTCTATCAATACTTAACCAATTTTAGAAATTAGTTAAAGGGGCAATTGACGCCAACTAGATCGCTAGCAAAACATTATTAATATTATCAAAACCTAAAATTCCTACCCCAGAATTCGGTTTTTTTAAGTTAGAAATAATCTATTAACGTTAATTATTTGGCACTAATTAAACAGCGTTTTTACAACGGATACTAATTAATATTAAATTATTATTATAAATTTATTATTTTATATTGTAAATCAATTTCATGCTTATTTATATCACATAGTTCGATTTTACTTGATAGTATAGTCATAATAACCGGTTTCGCCGACAAAATCGTTCGTTAGTAAGATGTATAAAAGAACATTCGACTTTCTAGTTTAAATAATCATATAATATATTGAATTTATTAATTTTATCCAATGAATTTGTCCTCAAGTTATTTTTACGAATATACAACAGATCACTTTATTGAAAATATTCATGTTTATGTAGAAAATATAGTTAAAACATTACAATTAATCTATATATAATAATGAAGCACTTCATAAAAATTGACAGATAAATGTTTAGAAACAGTTTGTGATAATAGCGACAGATTATTTGGGTCAAGTGAATTTAATTCATATCATCATCATATTGACGGCTGTTCTTGGAAGAGATGTATTAATGAAATAAATAAATGTATGGAAAAGGAGTAATTATATGTTAATATTACTTATTAGTCAGTATTTTTCCTAAGGATTTATGGGAAACTTTTATGGATTATTATTTATCCTCCACTTTAGATTTATTACCATCATAATCAAAGAGTAGATTCAGACCAGACCAAAACTTGTTGGTCTCAATAGGCTCGGTCCATTACCATCAATAAAATACTAAATTGTGACACCAATAGTCCAGCGTCATAGCCAACCTTTGGTTTAGATCTGAAAACTTGGAAATGGATATAAATAAATAATGGAAATGGTATACAAATTTAATTATGTTACTAATAATAATCAAAATATTTAAAATATTTACCATATTTAGATAGTGGTGATGTATATTTTCAACAAGATGGTAGTCTTACTGACAAGTAAAAAACCTATAGGCAGTAAATTTGATGAGTTGATTTTCCAATAATTAATATTAAGCTTATAAATAATAAAAAATAAAAATAAAAAAATAAAAATAAAATAAAAATAAAAAAAAGGATTACAAATCCAACTTCTCCGTTCTCAAATAGATTAGCTCCGTTTGTAATTTTGGATTTTCAATTTTTCATTTCTAGAAGACCGACCATCTGGGAACAGGAGAGACCGTTCTGGGAACACAAAATTTTAACCCATGCCATTTGTTGATTGACCAATTAAAATCACGAATTTGATAAACGTAGAAATAAATATGGGTTTGATTCATTTTGTCAACCATCACTTCACCAACAATTGTTTCATTAACGAATTTAAGAAGTTGGAAGAAATAGTCTAATAAATTAAATCGTACTACTCGAAAATATATTTAAAGGGTTGGTTTTTGACTTGGTCAAAGAATAACTCTCTTCCTAACTCTTCTCTTGACCATATCTCTTGATATAATCAAAATAACCTTAATATAATGAATGTCAACGAAATGATTGTAAACACAAAAAATTTAAGATACATGATTGTGACAAAAATGAACAATGTATATATGAAAAATCAATCAAATTTATTTAATAAAAACAAAATTTACAACACAAAAAATTTTTTTTGCATGTTCTAATAAAATTTCCATTGTTGCTGTCATCTGTTGCTGATTCAACATTGCCCAGATCATCATCAACTGTATTTTCATTATTTTCAATAAATTCATTTCATTTAATATTTTTCATCATACTTTCTTTTAGTGTGTTGACATTTTTTTTGATTTTGACTTGAAGATATCAAACATTTAGATTGACACTTTTGTAGACAATGATTGTGATAAATGGATACACTACAATTATTCAAATTAGTATAGTTAGTGTAATCACATTATACGTAATTGCAAAAAATGTTTGTAGATGGTTCCTAGAAGTAACAAAGTTTTGGTAATTAAAGGATACTGATTGTCTCTGGACGTGAATCTATGATAATCGTCAACATTCAACAAGAATGTATTTTTTGAATATTTTGTAAGTGCATTCTACATATTTCTCATGTTCATCTGTAACTTGCTTCGTTTTACGGTCTACTGCTCTTGATGTTGTAGTTACTCCAAGACTTGTATCTACCGAGTCTAGATAGAATGCAAGGTCGAACTTAAAAGAGTTAATTATTGTATTATTTAAAACAAGAAGATAACACATGAACACCACCATTAATCTCTTCATATGGTCTATTACGTTCAAATGGCCAAGCTTCTAAATAGAGTTGGTCAAAAAACCTCTTCAAGCTTGGTTCTATTTCTTGGAGCAATCTTCATATTTCATCAAAATCGTTTATAGGACCTTGATGGCTCTAGTGAAATCAATCTTTTCACTTACCTCTTCCTCTTCCTCTTCCTCTTCCCCTTCCGCATCTGTGGTTTTTACTCTCCTAGGTTCTCTTTTTAAAAGATTTTCTACAAAATTCATATAACAAATGTTACATAAAACAACACGTTACTTTCACTAAGTTGTTGTTCTCAGCTTCTTTCCATTTATTGCCTTTCGTTGATGAAATTTAGCTGATTCAGTGGTTTTACATTCTGTGCAATGTTTAATTTCAGGCAATTTTTCTTCAAGTAAATCGTATTATGAAAGTTGTGGGATTCAAAGGGATTCAAAAGATATGATAACAACAAAGTGTAAAGCTTCAAGTTTGTGTAATTATTTACACATGATTTATTGCAAGAATGGGCTACATGATACCCTTGTAAAAGTATTTTAAACTGTATAAAAAAAATTGAAATCAATTGTGAAAATTTATTCCTTATATAGGATGGTCTCTCCTGTTGAATAAAGGTGTACTATTACCCAACAAAAAGCAGAAATTTCTGAAGAAAAATAATATGCAATAAATTATTGAAATAATTAATGACCATCATATCGCATTGCTTATCAATAAAAAAAGGTTGTTGAACTTTACATTCAAGAATATGTTTTATAAATCTTTGTTTTTCACTCATTGACATTGAAACAAGTTAAATAATTCCACCTTATGTTGGAACACTTATTCACAAGTAAAAAAATCTAATAATTAATCACGATTTTATTTTGGTTTAAAAACAAATAATCAATAAAATATTTACAATATTTTCAAAAACATACTGTTTATTGGAGTTTTTCTTGATTTCTTACTTCAGTATAAAAACTCACAACAATCAACTCTATATTATAAATCAAAAATTCATCAAAATAGAACCAAAAAAAAGACAATTTAATAAAACAAATAAACTTATTGGTGATAAAAACGTTCAAAAGAAATCAAAAATCTATGAAAGGATTTCAGGCAAATATTTGACAAAAAGACTGATTGAATCCCGATTTTTTGTAACAAGCAAACTTCCATAGTCATTTCATTAAACTTGTAGAAGGAAAAGATGTTGCTTCTACCATTAAAAATTTCTATCAATGAAAAACAAATCCCAGGATGAAAACAACAGAAGCAATTCATCAAAGAAAAAGATGAAAAAGATAAAGAGAGAAAAGATGAAAAAGATAAT